ATGTGTCACAACCTACTCAAGGCAAATGCTTTGTTATGCTCCGCAGTCCGCCGCTCTTCTTTTGTATATATAGACTCCTAGCTCTCTCGCTCTCTCTCTCTCCTACTATCATCATCATCAACCACCGACTCCAACGCACTGACGACTGACTCCAACGCACTGACGAAGGACTTCAACTGAAGAAGATTGAAAATGGACTCACCAATGAGGCTACCACCATATCTCATCATATTGCATTGATTGCTCAGCTAGGAGAACTCAGGATGTACAACTCAGATGTACAAAAGCTCATCCAAGAAATAAGAACCATCCAAACAGAGAGTAGCTTACTGGGAAAGCCATTTGCTGATGACACCCTGTTTTCTAATCTACAAAAGTGCACCATCCAACACCCAATGTACAAAGAAACTGTTGCTACTGTAAGCCAGCTTAGTTTCAGTGCCCTCGCCACCACCCTATCCATCCGGCAATTGGCAATTGAGAACAACCCCACTTCGAGGGTTGATCCCCATCAAGCTAGTGCCAGAGTTGCTGGCAGCAATGATCAGGATGAGACACCTGGAAAGGATGAAAAGGATGCTGACAGCACCAGTGCCAAGGTCGCCACCAGACCCCGAAGGCTCCGATGTTGGGTCTGCAAAAGGCCTGGACATGGGATCAGTCAATGCAATGCATTGGTGACTATACCAGAAAATTCTCCCCTTGCCAGGCCCAAATAGGAGGTCTGGTGCTCCCTCACACATAGTTGGCTGAGCCCCCTAGATTCAAAAGAGACTTCTCATTGGATCTTAGACTCAGGCACCAGCTATCACATGGTAAATGACTATAGCATGCTCATTGGTCCGAGAACCTGCCAAAAGTGCATACTCACTGCTGGAAGCAAGGTTCTAGAAGTGACTGCTATAGGAGATGCTAGCATATCAACAAACACTGGAGATGTTCTTCTCCAAAATGTATTGTATGTTCAGCATCTCAATGTTAACCTATTGTCAACAAATTCCCTGACAGATGAAGGAGCATGAGTGATACTAGATTCAACCAGAGGGCAAATATATCTAGCAAATGGCATGTTACTCAAGATGACCAAGAATCGCAAGTGAGGACTTTTGGAGTTCTGAGGTGACACATGGCAGAAAAATGCAATGATCACATCAGCATCATTATTTGAAGGTGTTGATGAAGATTTCAAGCATATTGAGAACAAAGTCAAGATACCCAAACAACAATTATGGCATGAGCATCTAGGGCATCCAGGCCAAGACAAACCAAGAGCCATTATCAACCACCTAAAAGGTGACCACCCAGCAAACCTAAATCCAAATGCTGCTTTGACATGTGAGCAATGCATCTGAGCCAAAAGCACAGCAGCTCGGATGGGTCAGGGTGGTGGAGAAAGGTCTGTTTCTCCACTTGACCTCTTTCATATCAACTTGATAGTTGATTCATCACATGCAACAGAGTACACATGCACTTTGGTCTTGGTTGATGACCACAGCAAGTATGTGTATGTATGACCTCTATTATGAAAGAGCCACACTTTTAAGGAGCTAAAATCAATAATAGCATACCTAGAAACACAGGCAGGAAAGAGCTTAAAAGCAATATGGTCTGATCAAGGTACTGAATGGAGGAGCAATGATGCCCATGAATGGGCACATGACAAAGGTATAGAGTGGCAAATGACAGTAGGATATGATAGCAGACAGAACAGATGTGTGGAAAGGATGAACAGGAGCCTAAGTGAGAAGATGCAGGCCCTACTCATGCAGAGATGATTGCCAAAGAGGTTCTGGCTGTATATGAAGCTTCTATGTGTGTTTGGATGTTTATCATGGGTAAATATTCCTAAAGCTAAAAGAGACAATAAGAAGCTTGACCAATGGGCCATAGCATCCATATTCCTAGGATATAGTTTGGAGAGAAGAGGCTGGCTTTTCTACAGCCCAGACTATAGACCAAACATATTCTGGAGCAATTCAGCAAAGTTCATGGAGACCAAATGCTGGTCCAATAGGACAGAGTGGCAACCAGTGACTGCACAGCTGCCACCAGCATTGACAAACAAGGAAGACTTCAGTGATCTGAGGTACACAGATGAGAACCTTTTTGATGAGAGGGAAGAGGAAGCACTGCAGGAATACACAGACATGGAGAATGTTGATGAAGTGGATGGAGAACAGACCCCAGACAAAGTTGCCAAGGAAGCAATCGAACACAATACTGTTGCTGATAGATGGAATGATAATAAACTTTATGGATTTACAGTGACCAGTGACAATAAAAGAAAGAACCTGGACCCAACCATTAGCAAGGTGCTATCTGGAGAGGATAAGAAACATTGGGAGGAAGTGATGCATAAGGAGCTGGATGGGCTTAAGGCCATGGGTATGTGGGAAGTTGCTGATCTCCCAAAGGGTATGACCACCATCGACACATGTTGGGTACTAAAGATAAAGATGGATGCCAACCTAATCCCAACCAAGTTCAAAGCAAGGTTGGTGGCGCAGGGCTTCACTCAAAGAGAGGGTATTGATTACACAGAAGTTTTCACCCCTGTAGCACCTATCCAGTCAATTCGAGGAGTTCTGGCCATGGCAACCATATGAGACTGGGAAGTAGATTGTGTTGATGTCAAACAGGTGTACCTGAACTTGACGTTACATCATAATATCTTCTTAAAGCCACCACTTGGAATGAAGGTACCCTCTGGAAAGGCCCTGAAGCTAGTGAAAGGCCTATATGGATTAAAGCAATCAGGTAGAGAATGGAATATGGAGCTAGACTCACACCTACGAAAGATAGGTTTCTACTGCATGCTGAGCACCCCATGCCTATACTCAAGGGGGACAGGCGATAGCATGACAATCATCACAGCCTATGTAGATGACATGCTTATAACATCACCCAGTCGTACAGAGGTAAGCCACACTAAGGATGAGATAATGGCAAAATGGGGGATGGAGGATAAAGGACCTGTGAAGGAGTTCTTAGGCATAGGGATAGGTCGAGACAGAATACAGAGAAGAATGACACTTGACCTAATGGCTTACATTAAGGCTATGGTGAGAAAGTGGCTACAAACAACTGATCTGAAGTCATGGGTACCAATGCAGAGCCTAATGGGTGTTATGGGTGGCGACAAGTGCAACCCACTGGTAGCAAAACAGTACCAAGAACTAGTTGGACAGCTTTTATGGGTATCCAACACAGCATGGCCTGACATATCATTCACCATAGGAACACTAGCAAGATACATGTTGAGCCCAACGAGCAATGCATGGAAGGCAGCATTACATTTGGTGAAGTACCTCAACCAAACTAGCAAATATAAGTTACTTTTTGGAGATGGAGTGAACAAACACTCAGGACAGCAAATCATTATGTATACTGATGCAAATTGGGCATTGGACCCAATGAATGGATGAAGAAGCACATCAGGAGGAGTAACATACATGTATGGATGCCTGGTTAGCTGGAGATCACATGTTCAAAAGTGTGTGGCATTGTCAGCAGTCGAGGCTGAATTTGTAGCTGCCTTGGAGGCAACGAGAGAGGCTCTCTTCTTCTCATACCTTCTCAAGGACCTGGGAGTTGAGGCCCATCCACCAATATTATGGACAGACAGTCAAGGATGTATCCAGGTAAGCAAAGACCCTGCCAAGCATTGGAAGTTGAAGCACATTGACACAAGGTACCACTTCGTCAGAGACCATGTTCAGGAAGGAGAAGTCAAAATTGATTTCATCAGGACAACAGACAACATCGCAGATATCCTCACAAAGCCTTTAAAGGGCTTGGCCATGTCTCAGATCACACACCTAATAGGGTTGACAATGCTGTTGAGGGGGGGAGTTGAAGATGCATCAGCATCCTAACATGAATCACATGGTCTGCAGAGCACAAGCAAGACACTGGTGAGTCAGAGCTGCATGTCAACATGCATCGATATGCATGTGGGATATATAAGTACTTCAACCATAACACTCAGGAGGTGACAACACAGGGGTGATATGAAGAATAGTTCATTATAATCTAGTATGGGCTAAGGGTAACAATCAAGTATATATATGTTCACATTGTAGCACCCATCAATTAAATAAAAACAATAACCATTATATGCCTGATCAGTTGAGCTTGCTAGTAGCTCCTAACAGTTGCATTTTACCTGTAATCTTCAACTGAAAAGTGGAGGTAAAAATGGCTTTTTTTTTCTTTTTCTTTTTCTTTTTCTTTTTTTGGTCTGATTTTTTGGTGTTGATCTTTGAGAGCAGCGCCAAAGAGGAGCGCAACTCAATCCCATTCTCTTGCCGCATCAACGCTTTGATCTCTCGATTTCCCGCCAAAAAATCAACGAGGAAATTAAAGATCGGTCGATTTTTAGACTTTGAACTCAGCCAACAGCGCACAAAAAAAAGGGTGCTGGTGCTTTGGTACTTTGGTGCTTTGGTGCTTTGGTGCTTTGGCGCTGCTGCTGTGTTGTGATGAATAGGCGCCTGTGTGAATTTAATTGCGTTGTGTGGTTTATCAGTGCGAAATCCGAGAGCGGGTCAGCAGTCACCGAGAGTCAACTGAGATAGAGGCGGGCTTGCTGTGTTGTTGTCCTCTCTATCCTGACTTAGACCCCTATCAACTAACCCTAAGCCTAACCACCATCATATCCTCGCTCATCATCGTCACCGCGCACCACGATCTCTTCGCATCGCGTTGCAGTCGTTGTTGCACTGGTGCCCACGACTGACTTCAGACACACGATCTCGATCCAAGCGAAGGACAACGCACGAACCGCAGCACTCATCCAAGAGACGCTCAATCCGCAGTCTCGACTATCGTCTCCGCACTCTACATCACGGCTTGCCAAACGCTTAGCACACCTCACGAGCGTCCTCGAACTTCCGACCCAGCCAGCTTGAGCACATCCAGCAGCGCTACAGCGACGCCCAGCTCCCCTTTCATCCCACATAGTCTCGAGAGCTAGCCTCGTCCAACTACTCACATACAACATGGCCGCCCAAAGGAATCCCCGAATGCTTCAATTCAAGCTCGTCTTGCTTGGCGAGTCGGCTGTCGGCAAGTCGAGTTTGGTGCTCAGATTCGTCAAGGACCAGTTCGATGACTACCGCGAGAGCACGATTGGAGGTAAGTAGCTCGCCAACCACGTTAGACCTGTTGAACTCAGTCAAGCTGACAATCATCCTCTCCTACGTCGGCTGACGACACAATTCATAGCTGCCTTCCTCACACAAACTGTCAGCTTGGATGCGCAGACCACCGTCAAGTTCGAGATTTGGTGAGCAGCCTTTAACGTACTAAATGTTCATATCGATGCAGCAGCCACCGTACTGACTCGCCTCGCTTGCCGTCTTTCCACCTCACTTTGCTCTCGACCTGCGCAGGGACACGGCGGGACAAGAACGATACAAGTCGCTCGCACCCATGTACTACCGCAATGCCAACTGCGCCGTTGTAGTCTACGACATCACCCAACCCTCTTCGCTCGACAAGGCCAAAGCATGGATTCGCGAATTGCAACGACAGGCTGATCCCAACATCATCATTGCCCTTGCCGGTAACAAGGCCGACTTGGCAAGCACACGACGTGCTATCCCCACGGAGGAGGCCGACAAGTACGCACAGGAGGAAGAATTGCTTTTCCTCGAGACCTCGGCCAAGGACTCGTCCAACGTTTCGGAGCTGTTCACGATGATCGCACGCAAGTTGCCGTTGGAGCAGGCAGCTGATTCGCAGCGAGCGGCTGCTGGACGTGCTGGCGCGGCCGCGACTGGTGGAGTTGCAGGGGGTGCAAGATCAGGTGTCGATCTGAGAGGTCAGCAGGGTGAAGGTCAGCAGCAGGATGCTTGCAACTGTTAGAGCTGCTCGCCTTGATACTTTGCCATTCCTTCTGATACCGAGCGTCCACAGCTCGTCCGACCGCGCCAAGCTTCTATACGTGCTGGTCGTTTTGCCGCGAAAGAGCACCTCGTACCATCTACCACTACGCTGTAAATAAGTTGATGCTTTGTTGTCCTTGAAGAAACGTCGCATTTGCTTTCGCCCATCATCGGCTGTGAAGGGTACCATCTAAGTAGGAGTGGCGACGGTCGATATGAATGAGCCCTTGTAGCAAGTTCAATGTCAAACGCTGGATCGACGATTGAAGGATACTGTATTATAAAACTCGTATGCAATCTGAGCTCAAGTCGATTCCACGGGTCCAGCATGGCTCAGCGATTCTCAACAGCAAGCTGGCTTTCAACACCTCACGCTGAAAAGAAACCTTGGCACATGAGCTTCTGCTTAGCAACTCGACTGGGCATTTCACATCAAGTCTTACATACAATGAGCTTAAAATAGTGTATGGGTTTCATTTAGTGCCAAGTGTATGCTATGAACAGCATCGCTTGACTGACGCACGAGTAAAGGAGCAAAAGTATGGGCTATCTGCCAAGTCTTTCGGCACAGCCTTGGTTGTCGGGGCGTGTTTACCGTAACTTTTCTTGGCTCGCTTTTTTTGCTGGACATACAGTACGGCAAATGGCCTTGTTCCGGGAATGTTCCGAGGTGGAAAAGCATCGGAAGACAGCAGCGACAAGCTAGCAAACATGAGAAAGAGAAGTGGATCTGTTGCCGAGACAGCCTTTCCGATCCTACGATATTAGGCGTCAAGAAAAAGCAACCGAAAAAGAAGGCAGAGTAAAATGAAAGCCGTTTGCTTAACCGTTTGTGTGTGGGTGAGTAGGTTTCCATGCTGTGCTGTGTGTGACGGATTTCCGGGCTTTAGACCAAGTCAAAAGGCAAAAAAGGGAAATGTGGACACTTTGGTCCATATCCTTCGACCACATCACCACCACCACCACTGCCAGGCACCTGACTACGCTGCAGCTTCGGACAGCGCCTTCAATCACCATCACAACCTCACGAGCCATCGCATAGCCACGACGCCATTTCAAAAGCAGCTACGTGGAGGCTAGCCAACATTGCCCGAGTTTCACGCAACCCAGCTAGCTTGACGATCAGCATCATCCGACTCGGCACCTGTCATTGCCCTCATCATACGCAAAATCCGACACAGGGACATGGGTCAGCACTGAAGCAATCACCTACTTGGCGTAGCTCGGCTTGCCCGCCACTCCTAGAGCAACTGGACCCCACCACGCAACAATACCGCACTTTCTCAGCGATCATCAGCTCGACCCCTATGGCGCAGCAAAGGGCCATGACCTCAGAAAGCATCCCGACAAGAGCTTGATAGAATGAAAAAGTTCTTCAAAACAAAGGAGGCAGGGGCCATCACTCCCTTGCCTCCCACCGGTCCAGCCGCATCCACCTCCTCTTTCGGAACACCTCGTCCCTTTGAAGAGTATCAAGCTAGAGTAGCATCACAGAATCACCTTCACCGTCCACTCTCTTACCAAAGTGCTTCCGCTTCGTCACGTTCAGGCCGCGGCTCTTCTGACGAGAACGGCTACGCATACCTTTCGTCCCAGCAGCCACATCGTCGTAGCCAGCAATACAGCGCTTCCGATCCAGCTCAGCAGCATTCTTCGCCCGTCAACAACCGGCTTGCGCCTCGTGCTGCTCCCGAAAGTGCTTACCAGTCGTACTCAGATCCTGTCGCAGCTCAACCACAACCTTATCGAACTCAGTATGATCGCAGTGATCCCTCTGAGTTCGACAGACGCGCCTCTCAGCCGCCTCCATCAAAGAATAGTTCCAGGCAACCGTATCAGCATCAGCAGCAGCAGCCAGCGCCCGCAATGACAGCCACGCCTCCACCAAGATCGCTACGTCCAGCTGACGCTGCACCTCGTCATCGGCCCAACAACTCGATGGGTGTAGGTCCTGCATCTGCTGCCGGCTATCACAATCAGAATGGCTTGCATCTTCCACCGAACCATGCATCTATGGACTCTGCCTGGGTACAGCGCCACAGATCAGACGACTACGACGACGACGACAATGATGATGATGCAGACGGCCGAACTCCTACGGCCGGTGGTGGAGCGCAACGCTCAGCTGCCTATCCAGTCTACTCAGGTGCAGAAGGAAAGGACGAAGATGACGGCGAGGTCCTCATCTCACAGGGCCGATACGAAGAGACAGTCCTCAAAGATCCTCCAGGCAAGGATAAGAAGGGCAAGAAGCTGTTCGGATTCGCAACCGGCGGTGGCAACAAGGACAAGAAAGCAAAGGACGAACGCGACCGAGCTGCTCTATCTTCTTCACCCGTCCCACGTGGTAGTCGAGAACGTGTTCACGACGATGCTGCTGGACTCATGTCACCTCCTCCTGATCACCACGCTCACGATCGTGATCGCAACAGGGATAAAGAAGGAGGCTGGATTGACCGATGGAATAAACGTGCGCACCAACATCAGGAAGCCCGTCTAGCCGATAAGGAAGCTGAGGAAATCGTTGCTTCCAAGGTCGGTTGGCTCGCCTCCAGCGCCAATACTGAGCAAGACTGGATGCATATTCTGCCCCTCATCGACATCATTGCTCAGTCCGATGCGGCTAGCAAAGAAGCAACACGCGCTTTGCGCAAAGAGTTCAAATACGGCTCAGTGGATACCCAGCGACGTGCAGTGAGAATCTGGGCACTCTTAACGCTCAATGGCAGCGATCGATTCAGACAACAGATTGCGAGCAAGAAGTTCCTCGATGCGGTAGAAGACACAATCGCATCAAGCAAGACACCGCTGAGTGTCAAGGAGACCATGTTGAGGGTGCTCGGCGTTCTGGCGTTCGAGTTCAAGGACGATGTAGACTTGGCAAATGTGACAAAGTGCTGGAACAAGGTCAAGCCAAATGATAGGCGGAAAGATGGCGAGCCACTTGAGGATGATCTGTTCGAGTTTAGATTGCCTCAACCACGCCATGCTGAGATGCAGCAGCAGCAGCAGCCGCAGGGGCAACAGCACCAAGGTCGAATGCGAGGCTCGGCACCCAGTAGCACTGAAGCTCTCCGCAACGCTTACCTTGGTGACCACGGAAACGAGTACACTTCACAACGTCGGTCATCAGCGACGACTCTGCCACTACCACCACCACCACCGCCAACTCAACAGCAGCAGCCTTGGTCACACCCTCACCCGCATCAGGACCCTACCACCAATCACTGGCCTCACACCGCACCCGCCATGGAACATCGAGCCAGCAACGACAATAACGGCCCAGACATCGTCTCCAACCTTGAAGCAGCCGCAGCATCGATGGACAACCGATCCGCTTCGTATCAAAGTTTCGATACTAGCAACTCTTCTCATCGAGTTTTACACGAGATTGTCGCCCACGACGAAGATGTCCGACGACTGCAGGAAGAGTTCCATATTGCACGAAGCAATGCCTCTGTTTTGCTGGATACGCTTCTGCATGAGGGACTGCATGCAGAGACGGTGGAATTGGTGGATGAGTTCTACAACAAGGTTGTCATGTCACAGGATGTGATTGCAAGTCAGATTCCTTGGGCTTCTGCACAAGCGGATCGATCAAAAGAGCGGGCTAATGTGGGTGATAGGGAGACTCGCGAAGAAAAGTTGCTAGCGGACTTGCTGGACGCACATGACAGAACAAGTGAAGCGATAAGAGCGGTCGATGAGGCAAGGAGGCGGATCAAAGAGGAGGAAGAGGAATTGCGAGTGACTGAAAGAAGCAAAGTCGAGGTGAGGTTGGATAGGAGTGCTCTTGTGCAAAACTCTTCCGGCGACTTGTACGAGATGGGTGGTAGAGGTAGAGCAGGGTTGTTGGATGTCGATGATGAGGGTAAGCAGGAGGGAGGATCTAGGAGTTCTTCTCCTTCGAAGCCTTACACCGGAAGCAATCCATCCAGCAGTTTCAGCATACCACCCTCATCCACGATGAACGGTGCTGCTGCTGCTGCTGCTGCTGCTGCTAGAGTCTCACGTCCCCTCCCGGTGCCTAGATCAGACCATTCTTCATCAGCAGACAGTACCAGAATTCGATCAGCTCAATCTCCTATCCATGGTCCTGGTCTTGTTCCTCCTGCACTCCCTCCACACCCTACCGTTACAAAAACAGCCTCATCCACCGCATCGAACTCGCTCAGCGGCTCCACTCATTCTCGGTCTTGTTCCCAATTCGCACTCAGCCCATCCAACCGTCATCCTCCGGGAAGTTTGTCCACTTCACCCGGTCGATCCCTACCTCTTACGCCGAACCTTAACATCAGCACCAACACCACCAACAATGTCGCAGGAATGCAGGGTAATGAGGAGGAGGACGATCTTCAAACCCCCGTCGTTCCAAGCGAAAAAGCACTAGGTAAAAGAAGGGCTATTTCGGTCAGATATCCTACTCCACCGCCCAGACCTCCTGCGAATGGAGATCAGGGTCCGCCTGCACTGTCCGCGCATCCCAACAGCAGGAATAGTGGTGGGGTGAACGGAGCTGTTGGCGGTATTGGCGGGCTACGCATTGGTCATTAGATCTTGCACCCTCCCCTCTCAATCTTATTCGCTTTTTCCGGTAGAGCCACAGCATAGCAATCAATGCACACCTTTGCACATACTTGTTTCTGTCAGCCGAGCATTTCTGTTTGTGAACTGAGCCAGAGTGAAAAGCTACTTGCGCTCCTCCTCATCGCTGTACTTTGAATATATCGGTGTAGGCTGAGTATCTTTCCAAGCTTTGGTATAATCAACGTCACCATCCCTTTTGGCATACTTCAACAGCGCCTCTCTCGGATCAAGGGCCAAATCAGCCGGAGCGCCGAACATACTTTGAACAACACCAGTCATTGCACCTCTTCCGATGCGTCCTCCTTTTCCAGGACCACTTATCGGCGGTTGCGGTAGATTCGTCCTTTCATCTTTCCTCGCCTTTGCTAGTTTTCTGCGTTTTGCAGAGTCAGATTGGACACCGTTGGCTAGATCGGAAGTGTTGCCGCTGAAAATAAGATACGATTCGGCCGAGGTTGAGATATTCGGATCCACATATAGTCGAGTGGAAGAGCGATTGGTGCAAGAAGGGCGGGACAAGGCGAGTAGGATACCTTTTGAGGATCGTGTAGGCTGGTGTGAGATGAGAAGCATTCCTGAGCGGGTGGTGGTGAAGAGTTGGTCTCTTACGGGTGACCAGTGAAGTCTTATTGGTGTTCCGTACTCTTTTTCCATCGGATAGGTGGCGAGAGGAGCAAGATTCACCGTGTCGAGCACAACGATTCCACTCTGCGCACGGTTGTTGGGAAGGCAAGTGGTGCAAGTAAGCACAGAATTATGCTCGAAAGGATCAAATATGACGCCCGTATGCGGACTGGCATTCTCCAAACCCCCTCTCTCAACCACCGCCTTTCTGAAGGATCTCAAATCCCAAAGTTTAACCATCCCATCTCCACCCCGTGTCACAACTGTATTACCGGCTACAGCAATAGAGCTGGTGATTGTCCCCACTTCATGCGCTCTATCAATACTCCCCCGCGGTTTTGAGCCAAGGTTAGACCTCATATCCCAATGACCCAAACTCCCGTCTTCCCCCGCAGCTAGCAAAGTTACTTGCTCGGTAGTTTGGATAGCAGTAGCCTTCGTCCGTCCACCCCTACTCTTACTCTTCATCACAATCACCCCCTCTTGCCCTCTGCTCATCGTTTCTAGATCCCAGATGCGAATCGTAGAATCACTAGCCCCGGTTATAAACCTGGTTGAATCGGTCGGGTGAAACATCCCGCAACTCAGCGCAGCGACATGACCACTGGTATTCCTCATATCGCGCAAATAGGGATCACCTTTCCTACACTCCCCAACCTCGGCCCCGTCGCGGGTGTAAATCTTGGCTTGTGCGGTTCCGGGGACTACGAGAAGATGTGAGGATGAGGGAGAAAAGGAGAGATCCAGAATGGGATAGTTCGGTGTAGGTTCAAATAGACGGAATGGACTGAACGAGGGTGGAGAGAGACCGCCAAAATCGTAGAGCGAGAGAGAGTGGTCGTATGAGCCTAGCGCAAAACGAGAGCCGGATGCGTCTACGGTTAGGGCTGAGAGGGTTTTGTGGTGCGTGCCTAAGATTGGGGTGGTGTTGGTCATGGGAGGAAGTATGATGTTGGATCTTGAGGGGGGAGCAGCGGTGGAGGTGGTGCCTGGAGGAAGCGGTGGGCCGACTTCGTCGTCAGAAGATTCGTCAGAGGAGGAAGCAGAGGAAGAGGAAGACCCGTTTGCACGGCGCTCGCGAGCCTTTCGTTCGAGTTCGGCGTTCGCGGCACGCTCTTCTGGTGTTAATCCGTCATCATCATCATCTTCCTCCTCCTCCAGCACTATTTCTTCGGTATCAATAGCTCTTCTTTTACCCAATAAGCTAGCTCCCAAACCAGATCCAGTATTGGAGGTTGATACGGAATCCGACGCTGCTGCTGCTGCAGGTCGCATCTTCGCCGCAGGACCCTTCTTAACAGACTTCTTGCCAAACGACATTGGCATCATCGCTCTTAATGCTGCTTCGTCCATTTTCGCTTTCTAGTGAGCTCTGTGCGCTGGCTAGGCGGTGGTTGAATGAGTTATGAGTTGGAGTTGGGTGTTGGAGAAAAACCAAGCTCAGCTTCAAAAGGGTGCATTTTAGTGGGGTTGAAAATCCGACTTCCGAGCACTTGAATATTGTGTGGAGGCTTCGAAGCCGATATTCGGGTTGTTCTCCTGCTACACACTCAAAGTCAACACAGACGATGGTTCGAAAGGGATGGGGTTCCATAGTGTACCGAGCGACATTCCATAGTGGTGGCATGCAAAACAGAATAAGGTATAGCACTTAATATGAGCCGAAACAGAACGTGACTGATCGATAAAACAACCTTGACCAAAACCGTGAAAACTAAGTGCTGCTTCTGTTAACTGAGGCCGCGTTAGTGTTTCTTAGGAACACTAGCCAACCTCCAACCATTCACACTCGCCATACTTGCACTCGCCTTACTTGCATTCGCCTTACTTGCACTTACCACCCCTACCCCTCCCTCCCCCACACTCCCAGCATTACTTCTTCTCCTCGCCAACCCGCCAAAACTCTCCCTCACTATCAGATGAAGACACGTGACAATAATTACATCCTTTAACTCTTCCCTCGTCAATCCTGCTCCGTCTGGGCCTAAACCTGTAGCGCTGAGATCGGGGAGAGGGAAAGGTACAGCTAGTTGACCCACCAATTTAGGATGATGAGGTGCGGGAGAAAGAGTTCCAAGCGGAATGCGCGTGGTTGGGCCTAGGACCAAGTGGCAGTTCCAGGGCGTTTCGGAGTCTTCTGGATCCGATTCGTCGCCTGAATCCTCGTGGGGAGCGGAAGAGCCAGCGGCAGAAGTATCAACTGAGCAACGACGTGGGGATCGATGTCCACCTGCGCCTGAGATGAATGAGGATGGGCGAGAGGTGGATCGCAAAGCATCGCCTGTGCTGGATCGTGGGTGCGCGTCTTCTACGCCCAGCGATTGAGCCGAAGCTGAAGTGGTGGGGAAAGCATGATGATGCTGCTGGTGAAGCGAAGCATTGCTTCGACTCGCTTCAACTCCAGTATGAAGGTCGATACTAGTAACAGAAGCATTCAACGAAACGCTTGCACCAAGTCTAGCTTCGTTCTCCTGTGCTCTTCTCCGACTAGGAAGCCTTTTTGAGTTTCTCGACCATTCGAACCGTACTGGAATCTGCGAGGGGGGAGGATGAACCTCGTTCCCACCCATCCTATTAACCACGTTGAACCGCTTCCATACGCTATTCAATACCGCGTTCGACCCTTCCCCATCGTTTGCGTTGGAGTTGGGAGAAGCAGCCGACGTCCTACCCGCAAAGTTGACAGGTACGCCGTCGTGCGCTTTCCGATTCCACTTGCGTACCGTCCAGTAATAGCCCTCGGTTCGCTTTCCATCTGCTACACCAGCTCCGGGGGTCAGTTGTGGGATTTCGTGGCTGCTCGAGGTTCTGCTGTTATCAGTTGTAGTCTGTCCTGCGAGCTTGCCAAAGATGCTAGGGTTTCCGCCGATTGAGGTCGGACCTGTTGCACGATCTTGCGTCGACGCACCACTCGTGTCCCGAACGAAAGCACCAACCGCGCCATTGGCATTACCGGGTCGAACGTTGAGCGAAAACTTCTTGAACTTTCCCAACAGTTTGCCTCCCAAATTGGCTTCCACACCACGAGCTTCCGGAGTCATAGCCTGGAACGAGGTAGGCGGTTCAGCTGCTGCTGGTGCCGAGCCGAGATTCTTCCTCGCAGGAGCAGAAAAGGCAGACGCATCGTCCACTCCACCTGACGAATCATCTTCGCTTCTCGGTGAGAGATCCGTGCCGGCACGTCCAGTCTGCAGTGCAGTCGAGCCTTTATGATTACTCACATTCCGATAGAACGTCGCCATATCGTTGATACCCATCACAAGCTCCGCAGGCTCTAGAATACCGAAGCCATCCAAATCAATACCCTTCTTGACATACTTTGCTACTTTCTGGTCGGTACCTGCATCGCTAACCGTCGTAGAAAGAATATTGTGGAAGTTGAGGTTATACAGCGGCGTCACCCTGCGACCTGAACTAACCGATGCGACTGAGCCAGATGCTGACAGCTCTGACCCAGCTGATTTGGTCGAGGTGATTGAATCCCTCCTGCGTAGCTCCACAGACGGCGCAGTCGAAAGCTCGCCATGAGCCACTGACGAGTCCATGGAAGATCTCCGCTGCGATCCATCGCGACGGTTCTGCAGCTGCTGAGGCATAACGAGTTGGATCTGAAGGTTGAGCGGGTTAGCCTGTTTGCTAGGAGGAGGTTTGACAATGACGAGCAGCTCAGGTGGAGCTAGTTTCTTGCGACGTCTCGGTGCAGACCCCTTTGCTGCGTCGAAGGAAGACGGTGCGGCACTCCAGGCTGCTTCGCTGTGACCACCACCGCCCATTGCTGTGTGCGGTTCATGGCCGAGCTCCGAAGCATTTGCCATCGAGTTGGGTCTACTGTTGTGTAACGACTTGCTGACTGGGTCTGCATAGGGGTATGTTGCTGCACGAGAGTGGTGCTCAGCTACGCCGTTTTCGCTTGCACGGCCATTGAGGGTTGCTTGGGATGCTTCACGATGACGATGCTCGCGTGGAGATGAGATGGCCATCTCGTTGAAGTGATAAGGTTGTTTGGGAGTCATGGATGTAGCTCGATCGATGGGCGACATTGGATTAGAGCCAGAGCTTAGGGCTCGCATTCGGGTGGGGTCGCTAGGACCCTGTTCGACGTCGCCAGCGGCGGGCTTGTTGGTGCCGATCCAGCTAGTGAAGATGCTAGTCATGGTGATGGTGTTGGAGATGGATGACGCTGTTTGAAAAGATTGTCAGACGTCAGAGCTGGATAAGAAGGCGCAAACCGGCGGGCACTGTGTAGGGACACGTGGGATCGGGAAAAGCGAGCCGGCAGGTTGGTGGAAGAAGATGAGCTACGTCGATCTGTGTTGACTGCGCGACATGCGGCAAGACGCTGGGTCGAGGTGAATGTGCTGTAGAGAGCGGTGATGGAGTCAAGTGAGCCTGCAGCAAAGTTTCGAGGGTGGAGATGAATTGAACTTGTGGACGGTCTCGGAAGCTATTCGAAGGAAGGATTGGTGCCCGTGCAGTTGGCAGATGAAAGTGATGGTGGGAAAATGAGAGAAGTGGCGGAGAACGGTGCAGCTGTCAAGACCAGAGTAGGTCTGGGCAATCTGGCGTCCGAAACTGAGACGTCCCTCGAATGAACGCGGAAGATGCTCTGCTGGCTCTGCTGGCTCTGCTGGACAAGGATGACGGAGGGAAGGTCAAGGGTGTAAAGGGCCGAGGTGAAGCTCTTTCGGAAGGGACAGGATTGTGTAATGTTGAAACAAGGATGGCGTCGCAAGGGCCGTTACGCTGTCGTAGGGTATAGATATGATGATGGAGGCAGGGAACAAGGATCAGCGACAAGGATGAAGCGTCAAGATGGGCTCAAGCTCCAGGCTAAGCTCGAGTTGCGAGTGAGAAGTGCTTGCCAAGCTTGATGAGTCCGCGCGTGCCGAACAGTCAGACAGGGCGAACGAGTTTTTCCCGTTGGCACACGGAGAGCAAGCAAGCACTTGGACAGAGGAACACGCGGTGGTGGTGACGATGTGATTTACGAGGAGCAAAGCAAGCTTGCCGGGCGTGCGTGCATGCGTGCAACGCTGTGGATGGCAAGTGCCAAGCAGATGGCTAGCTCGCAAGTCGAAGGGTGCCGAGCCTGTCTGTGTGCACAGGGGATGAACGATGTGTATGTGTGTGTGTGTGTGTGCGACGTAGGAGGCTTGCCTTTGCGCCTCCCCTTTCCCTATGGGACAGATCTGAGCTTGAGAGAGAAGGAGCCGTGTGAAACCGCGGCAGATCCGAGCCACAGCTTGCCTTGCATTTTCGATTTTCCGCTTTCCTCTCCAAGCACATCACAGAAGAGCACGACCATACACAGCGGAACCAGCACAAGCAGCAGCGAGCGTCGATCTGCCGACTGGAGAGCCGATCTCGGCTCCGAGAGACTTGTCCTATAGAAGTAGACTGAACAAGTTGACGCAAAGAAGCGGATGCGATGTCTTTGGAATTTCCGAGAGGAATCGGATAGCAGAGCAGCTCAAAGACAGAGACATCGGGCAGCAGCAGGATCACCTGCAAGTGCAGAATGAAAAAGCGAAAAACAAACCGGTACAGGCACGAACAAAAGCGTCATCTTGAGAACAGAACAATCGAAGGTCACTGTAGGCCGAGTTGCTCACTCGTCCTAACGCCACTCAGTCGGCTCAAGAAGTCCGGTCAGAATGAAATATCACATACACACAGACAGATCCTTCGTGATTAGCATCTCCATGGATGTTAATCACGTGATTAAATAATCCGTGGTCAGAGATTCTGCCAGCTACAGAATTCTTTCTCTCCAATCACCACCATTCCCGCAGCTGCTCGCTTACCAGAATCTCGCCGTCTGTTCAAGTGTTTTTCCCACCCTGTATTCCCCCCCCTTGTCTTCACGCTGAACCCGCAATCTTAACTTCCCTTTATGCTCTCCTATTGTCTTTGCTATGATATGAATTGATGGTTCGGATCATCGAGTTTCCGCGGCAGTTAGGATAGATCGGACAGCTTACGGACGTGCTTTGCTCTGCTTCCTTCTCCGCCGGATGAAAGCGAGACTAGAATCCACTTGCAAGGTATCTTGTGCTGATCGGGCGACTCGCAGAGCGAGGAGAGACCAACGTGAAGGCAACAGCCCGGTTTCTACCCGATCGGGACAGAGGTATCGAGATACACATCACTATCAAAGTCTAATTTTATGCGCTGCAGGGCGCTACAAGTTCAACATCAACAAACGCTTCCTCCATGTCATGGCAAGCCCAACACCTTCAACGCCTCTGTCAGCCTCAAAGATCCTCTATCTACGTCATATATTCCACATCAGAACAAACAAGCATTTCTCAAGCTCGCCGCATGTCGGCTAGGATCACATATATACTTCAAGACCCTCGGAGCAACAAGATTATCCAACCGGCTCTTCCCCAACATCATTATACCACAACAATCTCGACCATGGTCTCACCAACGACAATCAAGTCCCTCGTACGCGAGCTCACCACACTCTCTCGCACCCCACCAGACGGCCTCCGAGCCTGCTTATCCGAAACCGACATCCTTTCTTTCTCAGGCTGGATTCAAGGTCCACCTTCCACTCCCTACGCTGGTGGATACTTCCGCATCACATTCGACTTCACCGACATCGACTTTCCCAATGTACCTCCCACTTTTCGTTTCGCAACGCCCATCTTCCACCCGAATGTCTCAAGAAGTGGCGAAATCTGCGTATCAAGCCTCAAAAAGAATTGGAACAGGGAGTATGGAATCGAAAGGATTCTGACAACGATCAGATGCTTGATGATCGAGCCCAACCCAGATAGTGCACTGGATGCAGAGGCGAGTAGGTTGATGCAAGAGGATTGGGGTCAGTATGTGGAGACGGCCAAGTTGTGGACTGGTGTACATGCTAGTAAGAGGCCAGCATGTTTCGAGGCGGTGGAGGAACAAAATAAGTCTGTTCAGCCGCCGATCAAGACACAAGCACCTCAGACAACAATCCTGGCTGAATCCTGTTCAGCTTCGGCTGCAAAGCCAATGACAAAACCCGCTGTCAATACAGCCCCCAAACGCGGCCTTCGTCGCCTCTGATAAGGAACCTCATCTTTGCATTTCGTCTCACTGTATTCGTATCAAACATACCCGCCCATCTGGAATAACATCGCATACCAATACATAACCCACAGTCTTTCACCACACCAAATATAAAAAAAAAAAAAAAATCAAAATCAAAAAATCAAAAATCGACTGGTCGAAAGCAAGTGAGAATTGCCAAGAGAGAAATTTTGTACCCACAATCAAAAGACGATGGTGTTTCGTCCTGCAGGACGATAATACACAGTGTTTTGAAACTCATGTGCGGCAAAGGTGTAATGTATGTGTGTGTAGAGAGAGCATGCGTACGTAGACAACGCTCTCAAAGTCGAACCGGCATCCCAACAGTCGCTGCCTTGATCTTGGTGACTAACCTACTGTCGAGCCAATCCAACTTGGACAAGATCGTAATGATGAAACAAGGGGGTGATGCGATTAGTAGAAGGTGTTGGGGCGCTGGCCGGCGAAAATGCCGACGTGACGGGGGCGACGATGAGGAAGGGGGAACTTGAGACCAGGGGTCATGAGCTGCTTGATGTAAGGGCGCTTGACGTCCTCGGACTTCTCAATCTCGGCGATCTTGAGGATGTGGATCGAGGCGAAACGAGCACGGTGGCGGGCAGCCATGTCCTGGTAGAGCGACTCGGCGGCCTCAGCGCGGGAAAGAGCGCGGAACTCCTTGTACATGTTGTGAGTACCGGATCGCGAGTTGTATCGGAGCCAAATGGCGAAGTTCTTGACCTTCAAGGGCTTCTTCTCGTGGATCTATAGGGTGTACAACCAAGGTTAAAAATGAAGGGAGGACAAGAATCAGTATCGCTGCTATGGATGAAAGGATCATGTAGTCAAGTGGAAAAGTCGCAGCACCAATACCTATCTTCCAGCCGCCAATCCAATCTAATGTGTAGAAATCTCCGGTGTCATTCTGAACTGCATCGACTGCCCTGTCCAATGCTTGCCACAGCGTATCTACGACCCGGCCGGTGTTCATGCCTTGCTATTGTGGCTCATCCGTTCTCTGAACTCCATTCGTTCTGGTGCGGTCGACTATCTTCGTGTATCCTGCTGTCCTTCCATGTACATCTGCTTTGCTTTGTGCTGTATCCTGCGTGTGTGCGTGCTGCTTCCTGTCCATTTCGATGTGCGCAAATGCAATGCAAATGAAGCTGTTGATGTTGATACTTACGGCGTGCATGGCAACAATCTCACCGGTAGCCTTCTTCATCTTTCGCAGCTGACGAACAAAGTACCAGAAACGAGACTCGGCAACCGACTTGTTGACGGCGAAGATTCTCATGCGGTAGAGCTTGGGAGAGGGCTCCTTCTCGGTGGGAAGGTGGCGTCCAATCACCATGTACTCAGTGAGGCGAGTCATCTTGAGGACTGTTGGAGACGTACAGGTGGTAGGAGGTGGTGAGGGGAGAGAAAGGTCAGTGGGCAAATTCTTGCATTTGGCCAAGTTGGAATCTTTGTCGAGAGTCGCATCAGCGTGGGCAGCGTGAACTTGTGGAATAACATCAGAAGTCGTCGAATGGTACTGATCCGTCATCGATGTTCATCTGCAAAGCCAAGAGACGAATGATCATCATCACTTTGCGTGCATGTCACTTGTCACTGTTGGGCTGAACTTTTCAACCCTGATGTCCAACATGACCACATCATATGTCCATATGCGTACTAGCCCATCAATCGTCCTGTGCCATGTCCTGCAATAGGGTGTTGCATCCTTTTTCAAATCATCTGCGATGCTACTAGAATCTATCCTGGACTACCCATCTTCCGTCGTGAGGTGACGTATAAGCGACGGAATACCGCTAATGTGCTGCTGGACATTCCATGACCCGACGGTAGACGACATACATGGTGATGTGTGAGGATGTTGGTGGTAGTGTTGTTACGAATGCGTTCAAGGTGGAGATGATAAAATGCAATACTGGTCGGAAGATTTGGTTGGAATGAAAGTTGGAGTGTATGCTGCGTGTTGCTGATGGTGCTCTGTACAGTGATGCCTGTGCTGATGCGATCAAGATGCTGCGAAACTCACGTTATTTGTCGACTGGGGGGATTGAGGGTGGTCGTAGGGGGGAGCAGGGAGGATGGCGACGAGCGATCACGAATGGGTTCCAATGGCGGCTGCGTGATGCTGAATTGACTGACTGACTGACTTACTCACTGACACTCACCTCGCAGTCTGTGTGCTTCCACACCGCTTAATTCTCAATAGCGGGAGACGGCCTCGCCTGGAAGACCACAAGAGCCCTTTGGCTGCAGCCCGTTTCCTCCAGGCTTCAGCTCGTTCAGCACTTGCAATACTGCGCTGTGCTGCCTTGTGAATTGGGCATCTTCGAGAATACGGCAGCAGCTGGCTATCCTGATCAAATTCGGGTTGAGCTGAGTGAGCGATGCCTTTTTTTTTCCGAACCAGCTATAAAAATCCATACAGTTCTGTTCGGACGCACGTGATGGAAAAAAGGTCAGGGGAAAAAGAAAAAAAAGAAAAAGGAACGATCGATGTTAGCCGAGGCACGTTCAAACAAATCCAAATTCGAACATAAATCGAGCTCATCGCGATACGTGTGCAGATCTAGCTATTGTATCGGGGAGGCTGCCTGCTTAGCACTGTCACACACACTCTGCTCACAACGCTTTACGACGACCCTCGCCGTTCGGCGATGACATGTCTAATCTACAACACAGCGATGCCTGTCACGGGAGGTGATCTCTGCATCCGCAGGGCTTGGTAAAGCTTCCTAGACAACGGCAGCCGGGCTGGTCAGAACATTGTCAAACCTGAACGAACGAAGGATGTTCGCATTTCGCTGTGTGATGGCCACAGCCTAACAAAAGGTGGAGGCGAGCATGCCTTGCTGCCTGCTGCCTGCTGCCTGCAAAATTCTGAGAAGATTTCTTTTGTGTGATCGCACGGGGAAAAAAAGAGGCAATCTTGTGTGTGTGTGTGACTGCAGATTTGAGGCCCAATTTGAGCAACGGAAATGAAACAAAGTCAAAAAGCGCTTCCAAACCGACGCGTTGAATGAATAAGTTCACAAAGCGCACCAACCTTGTCAACTTCACATCTCCTTGCATTCTTACCGTCGCAACACCTTTCAACTTCTCTCTCCATCGTGTTTCCTTCAGGCATCCAGGATCGTTCTCCACTGCATCGCAGCTAGCGCCGCAATCACACTCTACCAGCACGCAAGGAAAGCCCGATCACTGCAGAGTTCCATTTTAGCAGCAAGTAGTTGCAGGTTGAGCAGGATCAGGGATACACTGACCCGCATCGCCACCGACAGCTCAGCATTCGGCACACTCGACAGCACTTGTACCCAGCGTGTCGCGTGCATCCTGCCTTCCGCTATGCTCTTCGACGAGGCGCACACCGACAACCTCAAGGCCTGGCTCACATCAGAGCTCGGCCCAATATGCGATGCCGATCCAGAAGTGCTCGCCGACTATGTTCTTGCGCTGCTCAAGCACGAAGGACCCGAAGCTGAGCTTCAGACTCTACTCACGGAACAACTGGAAGACTTTCTCGCTGCCGAGACCGATCCTTTTGTCACAAAGACATTCCGAGCGATAGCCGACAAATCTTACCTTCCACAATCCGACGCAGCAACTGCAGATGACTCCAATAATACCCATACGCTTGCATCCACATCCAACGCCGCTGGTGACTTTTCCAGGAAGCGAAGAGCGGACGACAATGACGCCACGGACTCTGCTCGCTCACCCCCTAGACAGTCCCGACGACTTCAGGATAGCAATACGACGCCCGGCCCCGACGACTCCCGAGCTCGACCTGCTCGGGAGCGCGACTCGAGAGAGAGGAACGCCGATGGTGCGGATACAAACGGTGCACAGGGCGAAGGCGGTCATAGAGAGCCTCGCAAGCAGCTTTGCAGAGACTACCACAACAAGGGATTCTGTCCACGCGGCGCTAGTTGCAAGTTTGAGCATTCGTCAGAAGTGCTTCCCGACAATGCCAACGCACGCAGCCATCCTCAGCAGCACCAGCAACAGCCACCTTTCCCCATGGGTCCGATGATGGGTCCAGGAGGCCCCAATGCAATGCACGGTCCACCGATGATGTTTCCAGGTGCACCCTTCGGCATGCCTCCACAAGGTTGGCACCCAAGCATGGGGCCACCACCAGGGATGGCACCCGCCAACGGTGGTCCCCGTGGTCCTCAATCTCCAATGAACGGTGACGGTCAAAATCTTGCCAACCGTATGGGCGGTCAAGTGCCACCTCAAGCAACCGAAGCAGCTCCCTTCCAGAACCAAGGAGTTCCCTTCATCGGCGGTATGAGTGGACCAGGAGGCCGAGGCGGCGCCATGGGTGGAAGAGGTCGTGGACGCGGTGGAGGACCTCCCGGCACATTCCAATCTTCACGACGATCCAACACCACTCTGGTCATCGAGAACGTCCCCGCAGAAAGCCTTGATTTGATCGCAGTCAACGAGTACTTCAAGAAGTTCGGCACCATCACCAACATCAGCATCGACAAGCCAGGTTCCAAAGCCCTCGTCAGCTACTCGCAACCATCTGAAGCTAAGGCGGCACACGAGAGTCCCGATGTCATCTTTGGTAACCGATTCGTCAAAGTCTACTTCCAGCGCCTCGACGAAGCCGCCGGTGCATCTGCTGCGCCTGCGCCTGCTCCGACACCGAGACCGCCTCCCCCAGCTGCCGGTCCACCGGCCAGGAACAGTTTTGGTCCTGGAAAGAACGTCTATCATGCCCGCCCGCCTGTCACAGGAGCAAGTACTGCTGGTGGCGCGGCTGCAGGTGGCATGTCGGAAGAGCGCAAGAAGCTGCTCGAAGATCAGAGGACCAAGCAGGCTGCACTCGATGCCCAGCTTGCCGAGCAGAAGACGCTGCTTGCCAAGTTCGGAGACAAGGATCTCTCAGCAGAAGATAAGAAGCAGACCATGGCCCAGCTAAAGAAGCTTGGCGACGAGATCAAGGCCTCTACCGAAGCTGTCAAGGCTGCGGTCGAGGCATTGCAGAACACACCCAAAGAAGCACTCGCTGCAGCTGCTGGCGCCGGTGCGGACGCAGGCAACTGGAAAGCAGAGAAAGAAAAGCGCGAGAAGGAACAGCTCGATCGCGAGCTCGACCTGCACGCCAAAGGCTCTTCGCCAGCATCGACAACAGAAGAGCTCAGAAAGAAGCTCGAGTCGCTCAAAGCTGAAGCCGCCTCGCTCGGCATGGATGGTGCTGGAGGTGCAGCAGGATCATATGGCTACAACCCACGAGGAAGGGGCAGAGGCGGCTATGTTCCACGCGGTCGTGGTGGGTACGCACCTTATGCACGGGGTGGAGCAGCAATGGGCCCTAACCGATCGCTTCGCATCGATAATCGCACGACGAAGCTCAAGATTGATGGTCTCCCCACAGGTGCTGATGCTGAGAAGGTCAAGGAACACTTTGCTGGATTTGGGGAGGTAGACACGTTCGATGTCGAGTCGGGAACGGTGGTGTACAAGGCAAGGAACAGTGCTGAACAGGCACTGAGGGCTGGTGCTGAGATTCCTGATGTAGGAACTGTGAAGCTTTGTTGGATTCAGCCTCCACCCACTACAGCACCAGCACCTGCTGCAGCTGCCGGTGCTGCTGGGGAAGGTGACGCAGCAGCAGCGTCGAGCACTACCACTGGTGGAGGCGAAGAGGAATATGACGAAGACAGGGATTCGAGTTGGAAGCGTTAGATCACCCTCCCTTTTACCCCACAAAAATCCCTTTCATGTGTTGTTGTGTGCACTCAATTGCTTTTTGCTTACAATGCTCCCTCCCCATTGCGGCGAGGGAAGCAACTCTGCTTTTGGTCAGCATCGCTCGACTCTCATACGCCTACTCGGACCAGTGTGTGCGACTGTGTCAGTGGTCGAGCAGTCATCACAACTTGAACAAGATGATGGACAGTCATTCGGCTTCTGCCGCCAAGAGATCGGATGCTGTCGACTTGCAGCCTCCATCTGCATCCGCCAACAACATCCTTGGCGCCGGCTGTGTCAATGAGTCAATGGTTCAAAGTTTGTTTTTTTTTTCTGCATTAAGAAGGATGGCGGGCAAGTTTGCTATCAATCAAACACTTGCAATGAGGTGGTGGCGGAATTATGACGAGTACATCTCCTCCTTGAGCTTAATGCCCAATTCCTCACGAACGCCTTTAAGAGCCTCGACGTACTGCTTGTATTGGTTCTCATTTTCGACCTTCTGCTTGATACCTTCGAAAATGCGAACGGCGGTCGAGTAGTCGTTGACACGACGACTGGCACGAAGAGCCGCCTCGATCACTTCGGGCGAGGGGACCAAGTCGTAAGCAAAGCAGTTGTTAAGTCCACGCTGAAGCTCGAAAAGGTCCTCGACAGCATCAAAGAATCCGACGTATCGGGAGTTGAAGGCGTCGAACGACTCTTCTTCGTGGTGGGCGGCGTAGCCACGGACTACACAATGAGGTAATGAGTGGGGGTGATGCGGATCGACGAGGATTGTGAGTGAGGTTGATGGGGTTGGTTCGACAGCAGCAAAGCGATGGTAAGAGAGAGGAAGAGAGAGAGAGGAAGAGAGAGAGAGGAAGAGAGAGAGTCAGTAATTGATTCGTATGTGAGAAACCTTCAGGCTCAATTATCCGTCGATCCGACCTGCGAAGCGCAGAGCATCCGGAACAGAGCAGCGATATAGTTGTTACGAAGTTGTAGGGCAGCAGTGTCAGTGGCAGAAGCAGTCTTCAGCAAAAGTAGCTTCATCGGATCAATTGGTCGAGGCAAAGCGAAGAATGCCGTCGTAGCTCGGTGAGACGGCAGTTCGTCCTTTGAAGCGAGTCATACGCCAGATTCCGAGATAATAAAGGGTGACTAACCATAGCGGCGATTATAGGTCTGCGGTTCCACTCAGAATTGCGCTGCTCAGCTGCGATGTTTTGGTGAAGCAACTGTGCCGAGGATACGCAGCGTCGTCGGGAGGGCCGAGTGTTTGAGCGAGTCTCTTGCTGGCTGACTAATGGGCGACAACTTTATCGGCACGTGCCGATGAATGTGTGGTCGGCGGCAGTTCTGCGATGCTGGGCAGGTCATGTAGCACGGGGTCGGAACATTTCCGATATGTGCTGAAGACGCCGGCAGCTCCGACGAGCAGTCGCAAACATTGATCGAGTGGTTACAGGCGGACTGCATCAATCATTCTGCTGATCTTGATCCTGACGGTCGATCAATACAATCTGCTGTTCCGACTGCTGCTGATACTGTTACTGCTTGTACACCTGATACTGCTGATATATCAGATAATGCTGCCGGCTCGGCTGGCTCCATTGATATCTACTGCTACGGAGGAAAGGTCGGTCGTATGCGGATCTGAAGCTCGAAAACTGCTTCTGGCGAAGCTCAAAACTTACCCTGCTGAGAGAAAGCAACAGGAGCGGCACGGCCGAGAAGGGCAGCACGGGCCGAGGTGCTGACGGCGGCGGTTCGGATGGCTCCGGTAAGGAAGGACATGGCGAAAATGTGTGATGAAAGGGCGATGGTGACGAGACGACAAGGGCGAGGTGGTGGAGATGTGGATGACGAAAGATGGCAAATGGAATGTCAATTCGCTCTTGTCATTCTTGCCAAAATCGTCAGAAGAAGCGATTAAATCCCAAGCGTGGAGCCTGTGGAGCGTGGGTGCGAGGCGATGATGATCCTCTTTCTCGACAGATTCCAGTTGCTACCACAACGTCATCTGCTGCCATGAAAATTCAATCGGAAACGACGAGGAGCAAAGTTGACGCGAAATTTCCACTTGCCTTGATCGGGACCTGCCATAAAAATTCGTAACTGCAGCAAGGAAGAACATCTTGTGTCCCGGCTCTCTCCTGTGCTTTCGCGATTTGAAATCCACACTCAAAATCTAAAAGTCCTCCTGATTCCGCACGGAAAGAATGACACAGCGACGACCACTTGAATATCGATCAATTTCAAGGTTTTGAGCCAATACAACTCTCATCGCAGATTGCAAGCCAAAATTGAGCTTGAGAAGAACAAGAACACGCGCGGCGAGCCAGCTGGAAGTAGTGCAGCAGACGTGGAGTGTTGCGCTCGAACCAGCTTTTCAAGTTGTGTCTAAATTCAACAAGCTTGGCCCACCTTGGCTTCTCGCTGTCGTGTCCATTTCAGAGAGAGACAGACACACAGGACACACAGACACATCAGGCACCACCACCTTCCCGAGCTGAGATCGACATTCACCTTCTTCTTGACCTCGTCAACACCATCAACAACACTTCACCCGCATTACCTTCAAGCTTGCCCGCATTCCCCACCTTACGACCCACTACACGCTGCCTCTAGTCTCTCACTGCAGCTGACAGCGCTCTAACTGGGTCCCACGTCCAGCACCTCTTCACCATCCGTACATTTCGACAGCATCGTCCTATAAACAGCAAACAGGCAGTCTAGACCGACACCGCCAACATGGTTATCCTCGCAGCTTCAGTCTCCACCCGAGGCGGAAAGCCCGTGATCAGCCGTCAGTTCCGAGACATGCCACGATCCAGAATCGAAGGTCTCCTCGCCTCTTTCCCCAAGCTCATCTCTGCCGGCTCACAGCACACCTCGGTCGAGACAGACGCCGTCCGCTTCGTCTACCAACCGCTTGAAGATCTCTACATGATCCTCATCACAAACAAAAACTCCAATATCTTGCAAGATATCGACACTCTTCATCTCTTCGCCCGCGTCACTTCCGACATCTGCAGGTCCCTCGACGAGACCTCCGTCCTTCGATACAGTTTCGAGCTGCTTGGCGCATTCGACGAGATCGTCTCTTTGGGCTACAGGGAGAACGTCAACCTCACACAGGTCAGGTCCATCCTCGAGATGGAGTCGCACGAGGAAAAGATCCAGGAAATCATCGAGAGGAACAAGGAGATGGAGGCAAAGGAGGAGCTCAAGCGTCGAGCCAAGCAGCTCGAGATGCAACGCAGAGATGCCGCTCGTCGTGGTCAAATGGGCGGCAACTCGGGTGGTTTTGGGTCTTCAGGCGGATACAGTGCCGTTCAGCAACGCTTCGAGCCACCACCTACACAGGCTCCCGTTCAGACTGGCTTCTCTTCCACCTCCACACCTGCCGCCAAGCCATTCAAGGGTAAAGGTATGCAGCTTGGAAAAAAGTCCAAGGGTGCTGACCTTCTTGGTGCTATGGGCGGCGATCTGGCTGCTGCTGCTGCCGCTGCGGATGAAGAGCTCACCGCCGCTGCTAACGCCGCTTCTGCCTCTCTTACTGCTGCTTCTTCCGGCGCTCCTGCTGCGCGTACCGCACCGGCAGCGACACCAGCCGCTATCGACCCACTCGACCTGCTCGACCCCGTCCACCAGGAACCAGTGCACGTCGTCATCAAAGAGCGCATCTCCATCTCGGGCAACCGCGATGGTGGCCTTGACTCGCTCGAAATCAAGGGGGATCTGTTGCTCAAGATCACCGATCCCAGCCTCGCCAAGGTTCGCGTTCAACTCGCACCGCCAGAAGAAGGCAACCTCGTGCTTTCAGCTGGTGATCTCCAGTTCAAGACCAATCCACAGGTCGACAAAGCAGCTTGGACATCCGATCGCATCATCGCACCGCGTGACGCCAGGAAGCCCTTCCCAGTCAACCAATCGCTCGGCGTTTTGCGATGGCGTATGGTGACCAAGGACGAAACTGCACTTCCGCTGTCCATCAACTGCTGGCCTTCACCGAACGGTCAAGGTGGTTGCGATGTCAGTATCGAGTACGAGCTTGAGAATGAAAATTTGGGCGAGCTGCGAAGTGTCATTATTGCCATTCCATTGCCGGAAGGGTCGGTGCCATCGGTTGAGTGCCCTGATGGATCGTGGACGGTCAACGAGGAGACGAACAACCTCGAGTGGAGCTTGGAAAGCATTTCGAGCGCCAACAAGTCCGGAAGTCTCGAGTTTTCTGTTACGGAAGGAGCCGAGAACGTCGACGTCTTCTTCCCTGTTGTGGTCGACTTTGTTTGCGAAAAGACGCTCTCCAACGTCAGTGTCGCAGATGTTGTGCTTACGGATACAAGCGCGTCGACTGCTTTTTCACAGCAGTCCGTGCTTAGTGCCGAGACCTATGTTATCAACTAGTCAGTGCAAGCGTACATATTCTGCAAGCAACCTGTATACACATGTCACCGCATCCTATTCCATTTGAAGTATTTGACGTGCTTTCGACCGAGTGAGAGGCAAACTAGCTTTACCGTTTCAATCTCCTGTTGAGCTGTTCGGAATGAGAGCGAACGCAATTCTGTAGCCTGTCAAGCCCAATAGATGCATGGGCGAAAGCTACACTGTCTCCATCACCTGCTTGCAAAATGTAGAGTATTAAGACACCATATATTTTTGAAACTCAGTATCTTGTGAACGTACTGCACTTCCAGCCTCAATCGATTAACGGTTAAATCACGCCCTTCACACGGGCGAGCCCCCGGTTCGATTCCGGGTTGAGGCACTTTTTGCGCGCCGATATTTTTTGACACCTTCGAACGCGGAAAGGCGAATGACGGAGTAATGGTAAAAATAAGGTTTCGGGATGATGGTTTCTGACATCTGTCAGGTACAGCATACCGAACCACACCTCTCTCTCGCTATACCTCCAATCGACCTCAATGACATCTATCCGCCACTCGTCCGCACATGCCAACATCCAGGTCCCAGCACACCGGGACGACATTCTATACCTCTGACCGACGTTTCAGTGCTCGTTATGCTTGCACGACACCAATGCGACCAAATCGACCCGCTTCTTCAGCAACCAGCACTCACAAGTGACGTTGGGTAGCCCTAGAACCTTTTTTTTTTTTTTTTTTTTTTTTTTTTTTTTTTTTGGGGCATAACCAACACTCTAAACACCTCTTTTTTGATCTCAAGACGTTTCTAGCTACCAAAAATCGACCTCCTGATCGCGACGAGCACCTTTACAGCCTGAGGCCTGTGCCTGACTCACGCAGGTCAAATGGATCCGTACCTTGTCCCCACCCAGTCCGCGGCACAATGCTCGCCTTTGACCTTTGACCCCAGCCTTGTCGGCTGCTCAGCAGCCCAATTCCATGACGCGATCTGAGCCTCCAAACTATGGAGCTCCAACTTCCCGGCTTCCACCACTTCTGTCCAACACAAACTCAGCTCATTTACCACCGCCGAAAGCATCCTGTTCCTCAAATGCCGCCTACGCGTAGCCGACCTGCCGGCAATGTCAATCTTCCCTCCGACCCCACCTGTCAGGCCCCTGCAAACGGCGACGCCAATATGGAAAATGCCGACACTGTCTTGGCTGGTCTTGAAGAGCCCGACCAAAATGACATTGTGCTGATCTATACTGGCCGTCACATGTGGTCCAGCATTCGACCCTCCGAACCTGGTGAGCTGTCACCTCCCCTTGTTGCCTATGAGGAGCTTCCCTTCCCCAAGGGCGACCGAGCCAAGCTGCCCCCCCTGTACTGTCCGCTGGCAGTTCATAGGACCATTCAGCATCAACCGCGAAGAGGACATTGCTCGTGGATCCTTTCGCCTTCAAGTTCGCCGCTTTCTTGTCGCCCAGAACGTCGCCAAGACCGACAGCTCAGTCAACTTCCGCGTGGGGTTGGCAGAGGTGGTTTCGTGGAAATCACCGTTGACTCTAGTACTCCCACCGCCCTTGCTCAAGTCAATCTGGTTTTCAGTGGCACCCCTGCAACGCCTTTTTGTCGGTCCGGCACTCCCCAAAGCCGCAATGGTCGTCGAGGTTCTTGGCGTTCCTGCCTCGAATGCTAAAAACGAAACAGCTCGCTACATTTCGCTGCGCCTCCAGCCCTTTGTTAATGTACACGACGTCTGGGTCGCTCAAATCCCTTGTGCTAATAACCCCACCCCTCTTGAAAGCACCAACCGTATGGCGGTTCTCGCTTCCTCAACTGCTGGCAAAGACGGTGGCGTTGACCCCAACAGCGTCCACGCCATCCCCGGTTATATCAAGGTTGGCGGCGCTGAGTGCGAATTGTCCTACATAGGCCGCCTTCCTTGGTGCACCACTTGCCGTTCTGCCGCCCGCCAATACCACACTTTCGACAACTGTCCTCGCCGTCTTTGCTTCAACTGCCGCGAGTCTGGCCACTCGCGGGTTAATGCACCGCTGAAGCGGTCGCTGACCCCGTGTCAGCGCAGCAAGCCCAAGGAGAGAGTCGTGGTGCCAACAATCTCAACTATGGGTCGCAGTAATTGCATTCAGCTGTCCAACACCATCGCGCTCGCTGTGCCTCGCTCAACAATTCCGACCGCATCGCCGCCCTTCACGATTGCTCTAGCAAGCTAGGTAAAGCGGACATTGTCCTTCTGCAGGATATGCGACTTTCCTCGCCTCACTCCCTTCCACAACGCAACCCCTTCACTTCCCTTCACCATCCCATCCGACCAACTGCGCACCAAACTGTGCTTGGCAAAGACACCGGCATTCTCCTTCGCAATACAACCTGGCAAATTGAAGACACCGACATTCATGACTATTTTGCCTCGTGTCCGCATTCCTGATGGGGCTCCTGCACTCAGTGATTCCATTCACATGCTTCACATTTGGAGCATACATGTGCCTCTTCAGCACGACGCTCACCAACGGTTTGGGAGTGAAGATCTCCCTCAACTCTCTCGTCTTGATGCCTCTTCACTTGACAGTCGCACGGCCGCCATTGTTGGCGCAGACTGGAATGCGGTCGATTCGCGAGTGTTAGATGTTTTCCCCTCGACGTCGTCAGCAAAGCAAATGCCTTATGGACTGCTCCATCAAGCTGGCCTTGTGGATGCCTTTCGCACCCTCCACCCCACAGCCTCCGGCTTCACTCGCGATACCAAGATCCTCAATCGCATTGTTTCTGCCGGTCGCATCGATGGCATTTCCATTACTTCCAACCTCGTTCCTCACCTTAAATCTGTCACAACTCGTCCCAGTCTGTCAGGCCACAGCATCGTTTCAATCCGTCTTGGCACCAGCGGATCTCGAATCGAATTAGGTCCGCGAACATGGCGTCTTCATGGTGATGCCCATCTACAACATAGGTTCTCCCTGCGGATCCAACAATTTGCAAACCAGCTGCCACCAAACATTAATCACGCTCCAGTTCCCTCCTTCTTTGCGTTTATTGAACGTCTTCGGACCACTACAGCTGCAATCTCGACGTCGCTTAGCCAAGCTAGGCAACGGAGTGATGCACAGCGTCATCAACTTTTCCAGCAATTGACTTCCCTTGACATACGGCGAGGCGATGACACGCGTGCTCTATTCCTCCATCTGCTTGCTCACCTACGGCAGCTTGACACTGTCCATGTGCAGAAGTCAGTGTCGGACTGCAACCGCCTACACGAAATCAACATGTTCCGTCCAACAGCCTGGGTCATCCCACGCCTTGAAAGTCGCAGCTTCACAGCCACACCAGAATTTGTTGACAATCAAGACGCTCATTCGACGCCTGCAGCGAAACTGCTTGCTATTTGCCGGTTCTATACCACCCTCTTCACGCCGAAACCTCGCAGTACCATCACCGAGGAGGCTGCTTCGATCTTGCTCGGATCGGTCCAACGTCGCATCAAATCGACTACTCGCCACACTATTGAAGCAGCATTCACTGTCGAAGAGCTGAAGGCTGTCCTTGCGCGCTCGCCTGAATCATCAGCGCCTGGATTGGATGGCCTCACCTATCCACTTCTTCAGGCAACCAGTGACATCTTCTTGCAGCGGCTTTGCGCTCTGGGAAATGCTCTTTTGCGAGGCCACCACCTGTCAGAAGGTGAACCAATGCTTCGAGGGGTTCTACTACCAAAAAAAGGTGATCTCTCGCAATTGGCTAACTATCGGCCGCTTTCCATTGCAGCCGCCGCCTTCCGCATCCTGGGCGGCGCGGTATCGAACCGCCTTCAACCTGCTGCGGCCAAAGTGGTACATACAGCACAAACCGGTTTCATTGTTGGCCGTTCTTCCTCAACCAATGTAATAACCCTCACTCTTCCCCAGCACGCTGTCAAAACAAATCACATTGCTGGCCCACTTTGGATCCTCAATCTCGACCAACAGAAGGCGTATGACCGCGTCCTTCACGAATGGCTCATTGACTGCTTGTCAGCCTACGGCTTTGGTCCTCGCTTTCTGATCTACATCAAAGAAATTTATCACCACCCTTCAGTGCGTCAGTCTTTGGAAGGCTTTCTCACCGATCCCATCCCACTCAAATGCGGTATTCTTCAAGGCGACCCAATGTCGTGCTTCTCTACAACTTCAATCTCCAGCCCCTTCTCAATTATGCTCGGAATCATCATCACGCTGGTATCACACTCAGTTGGGACTTGTCGTTGCCATTCCATGTCTCGTTGCCATTCCATGTCTCATTGCCATTCCATGTCTCATTGCCATTCCATGTCTCGTTGCCATTCCATGTCTTGTTGCCATTCCATGTCTTGTTGCCATTCCATGTCTTGTTGCCATTCCATGTCTTGTTGCCATTCCATGTCTTGTTGCCATTCCATGTCTTGTTGCCATTCCATGTCTTGTTGCCATTCCATGTCTTGTTGCCATTCCATGTCTTGTTGCCATTCCATGTCTTGTTGCCATTCCATGTCTTGTTGCCATTCCATGTCTTGTCGCCATTCCATGTCTTGTTGCCATTCCATGTCTTGTCGCCATTCCATGTCTTGTCGCCATTCCATGTCTTGTCGCCATTCCATGTCTTGTCGCCATTCCATGTCTTGTCGCCATTCCATGTCTTGTCGCCATTCCATGTCTTGTCGCCATTCCATGTCTTGTCGCCATTCCATGTCTTGTCGCCATTCCATGTCTCGTCGCCATTCCATGTCTTGTCGCCATTCCATGTCTTGTCGCCATTCCATGTCTCGTCGCCATTCCATGTCTTGTCGCCATTCCATGTCTCGTCGCCATTCCATGTCTTGTCGCCATTCCATGTCTCGTCGCCATTCCATGTCTTGTCGCCATTCCATGTCTCGTCGCCATTCCATGTCTTGTCGCCATTCCATGTCTCGTCGCCATTCCATGTCTTGTCGCCATTCCATGTCTCGTCGCCATTCCATGTCTTGTCGCCATTCCATGTCTTGTCGCCATTCCATGTCTTGTCGCCATTCCATGTCTTGTCGCCATTCCATGTCTCATCACCATTCCATGACCCCTTACACCAGGTTGGGTGTTTCCGATTGATTTCAGTGAGATCAATTGAGTAAGATCTACTTGGTATGTTTCGACTGAAAGTAACCAGATAGCTTCGTTCTGGTAGGTTTCGGCTGACCACCTTGAACACTCTGTTCAGAGGTTGTGCAGCACATCTGTTACTCCCTGGGGGGAGAGTATTACACTCTCCAATACAGCACAAGTGTTTGTAGTACTGTTGCTAATGCTCTTCAATGTTGTCTGGACCGCAATATGCCTATCGCCTACAGAGGACAGGAGTTACTGGACTGCAGGTGTTGGACACCACTGTCAGCGGTTGCGCACCTGAAACCTGAGATCGGTAGTAGTATCGATACTATTACCGATTCTGTTGAGTTATGTAACAATGCTAGTGGTATTCCAATTCTTAGTGAAATATGTGATAGAGCTGCCTCTATCACTTTTCTTGTTCAAATCTGTAGTTGTAGTAATGCTATTGCAGATTTTGACTAACTGCTGTGGACACTCCATCCAGAGGTAGCTCGGCACAATCAATAACTATATGTCATTGGTGAACTTGATGATGACACCAAAGGTCTGGTGTGAGTATGATACTTGGTGGCATTGACATGAGTGTCTGGTGTGTTGACTATCACTTGAGGTGATCCCTGGACTGCAGTGGATGACTGCCTTCAGTTCTATCTAATCTGGACCACTGGTTTACTATGAACCACCTTCAGATGTCAGTGAGTGGTGATACAACACATGCACTACAATGAGAGGCAATCTATTTGATTGTGACTATGCTGACTGAAACTAATGAGTACTTATGCTTCTGAAGTAATACTAGTTATATGGTGTGTAGAGTGGATGGGGATCCACTTGACCATTTGTGACAAGAAGGTATGGTTATATACCTCTTCACAGTGTTGCCAGTGACACTGCTCCAGCTCTCTCTCCAGAGAGTACCCTCGCTGCTGAGTACTGTACAAGAGTCTCCACTGAGACTCCTCCCCCTCATCAAGACTTGTCACTCCTGTCCTTCCTGAGCTGTGTCAACTCCCTTGACACTGCTCCTCCTCCTCATGACCTGTTCACCAGTGCCTGCCACACAGCTCCTCTTCCTTCAACTGGCAATGGTTCTCTTGTCTGCATATCTCCTGAGCCCCTGAGTGGTAACCATCTGCATGCTTCATGAGCTTGGTCCATGTCTTGGCAGTGCTCAATCCTCCTCGCTTGTGAGCATAGTCCCTCTTGCATGTGAAACTGTCGTACAAACGTTGTTGTCACTGATCTCCATGAGATCTGCCATACTATCATACTTACTGCAGATTCTGGTAGGATCTGTGATATTGACTTTGTTCAGGCAGATCCTGATGGGATCTGTCATAGAACTGTGTCTACTACCAATCTCACTGAATTCTTCTGTAAATCCACCGATCTACCCGATCCCTCGATTCCCATGCTACCTTCATATGAACTGTTGGGTCTTCCTGCTTCCTACGCAGTCAAGCCCATGACACATACAAGTGGATCCTCATCCATTCTACTCTTTATCTTACTTACTCTTTACTTGGCTCATATCATTGCAATAGCATAGCTTTGCAACAACATCTCAAATGTGTGTGTTGTATCACCATTGGACATCAATTGTAGGCAGTGTTGCTCAACACCTGTGGTCCAGTTCATCACTGTAGGTGGTGTTGCTCAACATCTGTGGTCCAGTTGGTTACTGTAGGCAGTGTCCAAAGCACCTGCGGTCCAGTACCTCCCGTCATCTGTAGGCGATAAGTCTTATTATGTGTCATGGGACCGGTTGCGCAGGAAGCAAGAAGATTGGGAGTCATATGAAGAGGAGTGCAGAAATCATGGGATTGGGCTAAGTGAGAGCTTAAGGCAGAGTTCACTGAGATTGGTAGTAGAAACAACTCTATGGCATAACTTGTCAGGATCAGCAGGAACAAGGTTGATACTACAGAGTTCAGTGGGAGTAGCAATACCACACTAAGTATGACAGATCTCATGAGAATCAGTTTGAGAGGCGCCTCTATTGCCAATATGGCGAGAGGAGGATGTTGAACAAGGAAGACAGTCATCACCAGAGGAAGTGGGACAGGCCCCTGACAGATGTCAATATCATGGATGGGTGGCAAGGACATCTGGGTCTGCCATCAATGAAGCAGGGGACCTGCTTGGTAATGAATACAGGGCTGGTAGATGGGAGGAATGAAAGGGGGTGCAAACAGTTGCTCAGATGAGGTGGGAATGGCCCCTGATGATGATGAAACAATGCAAGGACTGTCCATCCATGGGCAGCAAGAGACATGGTGCTGATGAGCAGCATCGCAGGATGGATAGGAGAGACAGGAAAGAGGAGGAACAGTGTTGGAGAGGCATGCCAGAGTGAAGGCAGTGTTGCAGGCAACATTGTGAGGATAATATAGAACCTCACTCCTCATTGTAGCTGTTGAGTGGATCTCCATCCACTCTACACCATACATTACTAGCTATAACTTCACATAGATATACTTAGTATTCAGTCAGCAAAAGTTGCAATCACAGGTAGATTGCTTCCATTGTAGCACATGTGTTGTATCACTGCTCACTGACATCCAAAGGCAGTTCATAGTAACCAGCAGTCCAGATAGTGATTAGAACCAAAGGCAGTCATCCACTGCAGTCTGGGGATCACCTCAAGCACTCAGTTGACACACTGGACACTTGTGTCAGCATCAACAACATCATTCACACCAGACCTTGGTGTCTTCACAATACATTCATTGTTATTGATCATGCTGAGCTACCTCTGGACAGAGTGTCCACAGTGGTCAGTCAAATCCTGTAATAGCAAACACACTACTACATCTTCGAGTGGGAAAAGTCATAGAGTCTTTTCTATGACATATCTTGACAAGAATAATAATACACAGCACTCTACCACATATCTCGACAGGGCATGTAATAGACATGGTTCTATTACAGATATCAGGTTTCAGACACACGACCTCTGACATTGTGGTCCAGACGACGACAAGAGCATTTAGCACTACGAACACTCGTGCTGCAATAGGAGAGTTGTGTCTGATACCACTCTCACCTCAACATGTTACAGACATGCCACATAGCCTCTGAACAGAGTGTTCAAGGCAGTCAGCCGAAACCTACCAGAACTCAACTGTCTGATTACTGTAAGCAGTCACGCGCCAGAGACTTAGATTTAGGGGTTATATTGAGATTGCTTGAGTAAGGTCTACTCAGTATGTTTTGCCTAAATGTAACCAAATGTCACCGCTTGGTAAGTCTCGACTGACTGCCTTGAACACTCTGTTCAGAGGTTGCACAGCACAGACACTGATCATGATGAGAGAGTGATACACCCACTCTTACAGTATGAGTGTTCACAGTACTGTTGATAATGCTCTTGGACATCGCCTGGACCACAATATGCTGATCGCCTACAGAGGATGGGAGTTACTGGACCACTGGTGAGGATCACTGCCTACAATAACTGACTGGACTGCAGGTGTCAAGCAACACTGCCTTCAGCAAGGGACTGGACCACAAGTGTTGAAGAACACCACCTACAGTAAGGGTACTGGACTGCAAGTGTCAAAGGACACCCCCTGCAGTAAGGGTACTGGACCACAAGTGTTGAGGAACACTGCCTACAGTTGTCAACTAACGGTGATACAACACACATGTTGAGAGTCGATGCAAAGTGTTGCTATTGCAATGATACAAGTAGGTAGATAAGTAGTAAGTAAGTATAAATATAGAGTGGATGGGGATCCACTTGTATGCTATGGTAGAATGAGAGTATTTATATGTTTGATTGGTGTTGCCCATGACACCTATCCTGCTCCTCTTGAGGGGCCTTTGTCCCCCTGTTCGACACTGTCTTGTCCTGCTGGCATCAATCCCATTGATACTGCACCCTTACTGTTTGCACAGCATAAGGGTTATGCAACACTGCCCTCTCACCTTCATGCTCTCCTT